AACTCCAATGCATGAAAATGAGTTTTCCAAAGTTTTTCCCAAAAGGTCAAAAAATCGCCCCGGTCCCACATGGTCAAAACCCGAGGTTCAAACCAAAACCTGATTATCCATTCCCCCACGAACCCAAATATGCAATTTGTTTTGAAATCGGACCTCAATTCGAGGTCCAAATCCCTAATTTTTGAAAAACCTAGGTTTTACCCAAAACACCCAATTTCCCCAATGAAAATCATTGATTTTGAGTTGAAATCATGTGAAAAGATGTTAATGATTGAAGAAAACGAGTTAAAATTGACTTGCAATCGATTTGGAAGAAGAGTTGTTCTTGAAAAATCGCCCTAGGGAGTTTGTGTTTTGAAAAGATGTGAAAATTGGTTGATTTTCGGCTAAGTATAAAAAGTTGCAGGTATGAGAATTGCGAACAGTGCGAACCTCGACCCCTGCTATGTTCGTATTTGCGATGGGGTTTTTCGTATTTGCAAGGCGGGAAATGCGAAGGATGCGTCGCAATTGCGACGACTGGCTTAAAGGGAGGGAATCACATTTGCGATAGAATCCTCGCAATGTAAGGCCCCATGAAAACTTGTACTCAAAATCGGGTAGCTCGTGGTGCCAAGTCCCGAATATATGTTAGGAATGTGTAAAATTAAGCGAGCCGCGGTTCGAACCCTTTTGGTACTGATCTATGTTATAAAAAGTCAAGAAATACTGTTTTCAGGAAATGCAATTCTGCGGTCTAGAATGCGGTCGGATAACAGATATGCGGACCGCATAATCGCCGCAAAGTGAGTCAGTGTATTGGTCGAATTGGAGGTTAAATATGCGGTCCAATATGTGATCGCATATAACGGATATGCGGACCGCATAGTCGTCGCATATTTCCCTTGAGATTTTGTGAGGGGCAGTTCTGCGGTGCACTATGCGACCGCATAATGGGTATGTNGTGGTTCCATAACAGGTACTCCAACCCACCGACAGTAGCACTCCTTCACCTCCCGTCAGCTGAAGTGGTGAGCCCCTTTTCTCTCGGGGCCCTGCGTGGCTCATGCCGCTTATCCTCCCGAAAATTTTATTTTGGTATTTGCGTAAGGTATAGCCGGAGCCTTGTTACCGGCAAGTATTGTAACACTCTTTTGTATCTCTAGAGGCTCCGTAGACAGGAAATGTGGGTTATGTACTTATGTATTTTGGGCAGTATAACTTGTAAACCACGCTAAGTAACTATGTATGTTATGTAAATCTCATAAGAATGTGTTTAAATTTATAAATGGCTATTTCACTTGGTTAATGGGTAATGGAAACGCAGGGTATCACGTGGAATAGGAAAGGCACCTAGGTCCGCTTGGTTGGGGGCTACCCGGTCGAGCGCCGGTCACGCCCCTCAGTTTTTGGGGCGTGAAACGCAATTGCGAGGATAGGCTGGCCTGGGCCTCTTTCGCATTTGCGACATGCCTCTCGCATTGCGAAGCCTGCAGGCCTGCAATGCCACAGCTGAAAATCTGCAATTTTTCCAAATCTAGAATACACCCCGTGGCCTATCTAAAACTCACCCGAGCCCTCGGAGCTCCAAACCAAACATGCACACCAACCTAAAAACTTTATACGGACTCGCTCGTGCATTCAAATTACTAAAATAACATCAACAACTATGAATTTAGCATCAAAATCATGAAATTTTCCTAAGAACTTCAAATTTCCAATTTCCTAAAAAACGATCCGATTCACGTCGTTTTAACTCCGTTTCCTACCAAATTCCACAAACTTATCTTAAATCATATATAAGACTTGTACCGGGCACCGGAACCAAAATACGGATCCGATACCATCAAGTTTTAATCACAATTCATTTCTAAAACTCATAAATAATTTCGGAAAATAATTTTCTTTAAAAATTCGTTTCTCGGGCTTGGGACCTCGGAATTCGATTCCGGGCATACGCCCAAGTCCCATATTTTCCTATGGACCCTCCGGGACCGTCAAATCACGGGTCCGGGTCTATTTTTTAAAATATTGACCGAAGTCAAATTAATTTATTTTATAGTCAAAATTTATCATTTTTCATAGATTTTCACAAAATGGCTTTCCGGCTATGCGCCCGGACTGCGCACGCAAATTGAGGTGATGCCAAAAGAGGTTTTTAAGGCCTCGGAACGCAGAATTCACTTTTAAAACAAGTGATGACCTTTTGGGTCATCATATGGGCACCACTGTGGTGTGCTCATACTATACTTCTATATATATTTTTTGTACAGATCTAGGTATTTGATTGGTAGTATCTGTGCGGATCATCGCGGTGGGGACTCAGGGTAAACCTGCTGCTGCGTTCGCAGGCCTCGGAGTCACCTTCGTTTATGTTTATTTCATTGGTTCCTTTTTGTTCTGGAACAGTGACGTATTTATTTTGTATAACTGCTCTTAGAAAGGCTTATGACTTGTACCACCGGTTTTGGAAATTGTAATTATTCAGAGTTATCTAATTTGAAGTTAGTGAATATCAATGTTATTTCTGTAAATGTTAGGCTTACCTAGTTTAGAGACTAGGTGCCATCACGACTCCTTCGAAGGGATTTTGAGTCGTGACACAAACATGTATCACGCATGTATCTCACACACATGTATATATGTATATACTTGTGATACACATTTGATACAAATATTATACATATGTGATACACAAATGATTCACAGTGTGATACACATCATTTTTTCAACGTTCATCTTCTACTTCGAATTTTCAATTCAAACCACCTCAAAACTCCACCAAATCATCCTTAAGCTGAGATTCAAGCTCCTTAAGATGTACCCAATCTATTCTAATAACACCCACTAAAAAAAGCAAAAAATGACCTTTTTTGGCTACAAATAACTAATTGGCTAATATTGATAGCATATAGCTAGCATTAATATTTTTTTATGAATTGACCAATTTTTGTAATAAACTACTTATAAATGGACGTAGCTGATATTTTCCCAATTTTTACACAACTATATTACCTTTACATACCAGGTAACCTAATTATTTTCAAGTTTTAAGTCCCATGATTATCTGAAAATATTTATTGGTGACTCGACAATTTAGTTTTTTTTCTTTGGTGCAAAGTCCTGAGTGTATAAAGGTAAAGTCTTGAAATTAATTCACAATTTAGATCAAAGTCCTCTCTCCTGCATACACCATACTCCCCCACGTATCAAAGAATAAAAATTAATTATACATACAATATATGATAAATTAAAAGTGCAAAAAAATAAAAAAATAAATAAAATAATAATAAATCAAATTTGGTGTAGATGAATAGTGTCGCACCAAAATTGGTGTGACACTATTCACGCACTATAATGGTGCAAGATTTGGTGTTCCATTGGAGCAAAAAAACACCAAATTTTACACCAAATTTAGATTTGGTGTAAAAAATAGTGCACCCTTGGAGATGCCCTTATTTTTAATTTTTTAGTATTATTTATTTGAAGTATATTTTTTTAGCTTTTCTTAGATACAAAGTTATTAATAATTTTCTTATAATCAATAACTCCTAATAAGTATTTCTCAATTGACAATATAGCTAATCCATTTAATCTTTCTTGTGACATTGTTGTTCTTAGGTAAGATTTTATCAATTTTAATTTTGAAAACTTCTTTCCGCTGAAGCAACGGTAACATGAGTTATGAACATTATTCCATAAGCAATTTAGGCATTTGGAAAAAAATTAATTTTTTTATTTATTTGATTAAGTGTATCAATTACATTGTTATCTTCTAATTGTACTATTTCCTTAATACTTTTAATTCAGAAAATAAATCTAAATCATCAATATCGAATTGATTATTATGCTTTAAGGAACATTCAATATTAAGGCAATATTTTTTTCAAATTTCCAACGTCTAGTGATCTTAGTCTTTACTGCCAAATAGAGAACCAAAAATATTTTCATATACTTCGAATTGTTCAAATCTATTTTGAAGTGAATAAATAACCTTGTCTATTATGTATAAAAATAATCAACTCTACATGACTCTTCAAAATATTTTGAGATTTCATTATTAACATTCGCATCAAATTGTTACTTCCTATATATCACACGTTTCTTACGAAATTCAGGTTCGATATTCATTTTAAGTGCAATTTCCTTGGTAGAAATCATAGCAGTTGCAAATCCTTCTTCTCTATATTTGTTAAAGAAAGAAATCAAACGTTTTCACTTTATAGAACTCTTTTTTAAACTTATACATAGTCTATTAGCTGTAACAAAAAATGTCCCCCACAAATATGGAACCTAAAGCGGTTGTTTTACTTGTTTTATAGAGGGGCCGCCCCGGTCTATAATTGTCCTTTTCCACCTCTGCCTTCAAACCTTTCAGCTTTCAGGGGGTTTTAGCATCAGTTCTTTGTGTTAGCGTGTAGCTTTGGAGAATAATCATTCTTTTACTAAAACCTCAGTTTTCAGAAGAACCGCAAAAATGAAACCAGAAGACGACATTCATTCCTCAAATATTTAAAAATAAAAAATAAAAATTGGAGAAGTACTGTGAACTGACTGAACTAAAACATTTAAATATGTTTAAGTAACATAACATATCACGCATACTGTGTTAGAAAAGGATTTTCCTGGTAGCACCATCGTGCTTATGGTTGTTTTTTCAATTTTTTTTTTTTTTTTTTTTTTTTTTTTTGCCAAGAATCCAATATGCTGAAAATGATTTCTTTTGCATTTCATGTTACCTTTACCATGTCAGAAGTCAGTTGTCATGGAAAAAACATATCTCCATTCGTGAGTAGGATGGAATCCAGTGGCAGAAATACCTTTTAGTAAAAAAAGTCATCCAATACTGCTTCGCAAAAAAAAAAAATTTACTTTATATATGCCTGTGTAAATGTATTTGTCTGAAAAATATCATATATATAAGACAGGCCGAATAGATTCTACCATTGGAGGTACTGGCAAACTTTACAAGCCGAATTGTGACAATATACTGATATTGCTTGTGTAAAATACTGCATATGTCACTGAATAGATCCAACCACCAAGATGAATCCACAAAATACAAGCATAAGTAACAGTGAGTTTCCAATTTAGTATAATTCAACTATATACATATACTAGCAGCTGACTGGACCATACTACATCAACTTGGTGATGGCACTAACAAAGTTTTCTGCTAAGCTACATTTACACCCCCTCTTCCATTCCTTCATAAATAGAGTGAAAGAAAAGGGAATGCAGAGAGAAAAGGCTACTCTCATCCCTTTCCCGAGGTAGCTACTTTTTTCTTTACGTGCTTATGCTGCTATCGGAACGTACCCAGTTAACCAAAAGTATAATCGATCGAGACCAAAGCTTATGCAATTGTAGAATATCGTTCAAACAGAAAGCATTTTGGCCAGTTCAAGGTCAGTCGTGGATTGATATTGGACAAAGGCACAGTCGAAGAACTAGACACATATGCAATACCTAGCTACTTGAATATGAATTCCTCTTCCTTATGCTTATGCTGCGGTTCTGCAGGGGATGATTGATGGAGTCCTTTTGATCACTCGGCTTCATTTCCTCTATTTCATCAACCAGTTGTTCCAGGATTGATGTATTCGTAAACACTTTCGAACTGGAAGCTAAGCAAGATGGACTAGCATGAAATTCTTCCTTGTAAATCTCATTATCACTAGAACTAAATATTTCTGTAGGTGACTTTGCATCGTCTGTTTCCTCTTCATCTTCAGAGATATGCATGTCGGAGTGCTCCCTCTCACTCCAGCTAGTTTCAGAAGAAGTATCACTAACTGTATGAAACAAAGTAACACTCTCTTTCTTCGCGCCTTGAAATGAAAAGCTCCGTATTTTCCTATCGGACAATGGAAGAAGGGATGTTGAATGAGAACCAGTTTGGTCCCTTCCTAGACTATATGATGTTGAGAGCTTCCTCTGTATGCCTTCCCTTTCCTTAACTAGATTGCCTAGCTTTTCCAGCACCTCATTGGCTATTGCTTCCTCAGCGGTCTTTTGTTGAAGCTCTGTGATTGATCTATCAAAAGCTTTCTTCTGAAGTCGAAGTGATCGCTGAAACATGGACCAAAAAGACAAAAGATGAGTTCAGTTTTCAGTGTTTTGGTAGAACACGGAGTAACAGAATAAAAGAAAGGGAAAAGAGTCAAAAATACCTTTTACCATGCGAAGCATCTTAAAGTTTACTCTCCGTTATACACTTTGGGTCTATTCATACTCCTTGCATTTAGCAAATCGTCTCATATTTATCCTTGACCCTAATGCAACTCCAACATGAAGTATATTAGAGGTAGGTAACTTTAGACTGGAGCCGAGCTCCATTAAGGTCAAGGTCAAATACGAGAGGATTTGCTGGACAACAAGAGTATGAATGGCTCCAACGTATATAGAAGGTAAAATTAAGATTATTTCGTACAGTAGAGGAGTAAATATGGATCTCTTACCTAAAAATAAAGGATAGAAACAAACTGAATGTAGTGCTGAAAGATTTTGTTGGAAAGAATAATCAAGAGGGAGCCGAATCCCTTAAAATGTCTCTTCCGGTTTAAATACCATTTTTCATACAAGAGAAAGTCAAAAAGGTGAATAGAGAGTCGGAATGTATCTCGGCTTACTCTTTTATCTAAGAATTTCCCAAGATCTTGATTTTGAAGCTTCTTTTTCTTCCAAAACATGCAGCAAAATCTTACTAGTACTGCTAGTACTATCAATATGATAGATTCCAAGATCAGAAACAGCAAAATTGTCTTCTTATTACCTGAAGAAAAAGAAGTTAGGTAGTTGGAATCTTGATTGGTTAACAACATCACTACAAAAATATGTAAGATGTTACCTATGTAGATGCTGAAATTCTTAGGCTTAATCTGTGAGCAGCTTAATGCAAACTTCTGACCTGATGCAAAAGAATAATGAATCAATATGATATTGTCTAGCTGCAATATAAGAGAATTATTAAAAGGTATAGAATATTTACGTGAGCTTCGACATGGTAGCGGATTCCCAATACCTGCAGGAGTAATCCATCTCTATTATATAAGTATTCATTAAGCATAAATGAGTTGCAGAGTGATGCCTTTAGATTCTACACTTATTCAGGAAGTGGGATTTTATGAACTGTATAGAAGAAAAAGCTAAATTCAAGAAAGAAAAGCTCATTTTGTTTGCTTGAACTACTAAAATTGAAGCACTGCTCAAGTTCTTCTTGATGACTGCATCACCCTCTTCAAATGCAAAAGAAATGGAAGTTTGTTTTATTCATCGATATCAAATTTTTGAGTCCTGTTGAGACATTCATGTATCCAATGTAAAGACAGCGCATTCGTAATTGTGAAGATACTCACTTGAAGCTGCAAAAAAAGCAAGGAGGACACTTTCATCCAGAAGAAAATATTGCAGGTCACTTCTCAAAAACTCCGAGGAGAATTGGCCTGATGCAATAGTAAATAATGGAGGTTAGGGTGCTGCAGATAAGTCGTTAAACTACTGATGTTGTTGATACGGCCAAACAGATTTTCGGGCCTAGGGAAAAGAGCGGGGTAGTTACCAGGATATTGTTCAGACCAAAATATGGTCCCAGTAGCTGGACTAATCAGTGTGAAGATAACGCCCATTGGTTTCATCGCTGAGATGTAAGTGTAATCTCCAATTATCCGAGTAATCTTTCCTTCGATCTCTGTCTGAGAAACATAGATTGCATATCCTGAGCAATCAAGAACAGGACTAACTTGGATTACAGAATCCATGTTAAGCACTTTAGGCAATTTTCTGAGAACTCCTTCTGGCGAAAATGAATAGAGGTAACCGTCCAATGAACCAATAGATATCCAACCTGGAATTGAGTTTGAAAAAAAATGAATAAGTTGGAAGGGCTGATACAATAACAAGTTCATGTCAGATAAATTTATTTAAGAGTCTATAATCCAAATTACAATAAAAATTTGCTTAGTTTAAGTAAGTTCTGAGCATCAAAGGTAACGAAAAATGCTACCATTAGAATCAACAGAGGGGACATAATCGACTGTACTTAGCGGTCCAATACTTGTTTGCCACAAAATGCTTCCCCTGGAAACATCAACTGCTAGTACCAGAGCTCTAGGTGCTACAGTAACATACAACAGACCATTATTGCCGGATGTCATGGTCAGTGTATTGCCAAATGAACTGAAATCTTGGATCCATTTGAAATGTGGACTACGAGTTGACAGAGCATAAATTTCTCCTTGATTATTTGAGATCTGCAGTTGGAGAAAGAACGGTTGAATTGGGATATATTAAGTACATGCAAGATAAAGCTTTATACAAAGGACAAGTTTAAAGAGCACACAACTCCATTGTATAAGCAGAGAAAATAACTGCCTTAGATGGATATAAAGGAAATGCATCAGTGGCTGCACCTTTTTCTGTTACTAAAACTCACTTCATGCGCACATGGAAACAGTAATACATTACAAATAGTGGAAATCCAAAATCTAGATAAATGTTTACTGAAGTCGGGAACAGAAAAGCTTACATATATACTAGCTTCACAGTGATCGAACACAGGAACCGTGGAAAAATAACACTCAGTGATGTTTTTCCTACAACCTTGACGATATCCACGTTGATAAAGTACCGGGCCAGCACTCCAGTGCAGTTTTCCATGCAAACGGTATGAAAAGAGACCCCTGTTTTTGACATTGATAAGTACACTGGAAGTGGACATACTTACTGCAAGGCCAATAATCTCCCCCGGTCTTTCAGATTCTGTACCAAAGAACAATTCTACAGCTGTTTCAGAACTTCCAACATTCAAAGGGTTGATCTTCAGCACTCTGTCTTCTGCAACCACATATATCTACCAAAAGTAGCTTGCAAAATTATAACCAAACAAAATACTACAAGAAATAATACCAATTAATAGATGAAACAAGATGTCAAGCTCTTATATCAAACTTGGTAGGGACTAAGGCTGCCCCTTTTGGTATAAGTTTTGCAGGATTTAGAACTTGTACCAAAACACTAAATGAGAAATTTGACATGCGGTTACCAAAAAAATCTCATTAAAACTGCCTTATAAAGAAAATTAGCCTATTTAAATATGGGCAAAGTTCGTTACATTTGAAAGAGCAGCACTAGAACATTGACAAACTAATGAGTCCACAACATTAAGAAGCTGGCTTGTGATTTCCACATTGTCAGATAAACATTGACAACTCTTATGTTAACAATTCCACAATTGCAGGAACGTTGAAACTTAGAGGCATGAATTTCACTCTTTGCCTTGTCCCCGGAAGGAAGAAACACACAGTTAAAGGTTAGATCAGAATAATTATACCTTTCAGAATTTCAAACTTCAACATTTTTGATAGGAAACCTATTTCAGGTGAACGCAAAAAGCCTCAGCAAACTAAAAAGTCACACGATTCATGCTCACCCCATAAAAGCATTTTATATATTCACTATTATATTCACTAATTCATTTTGAGAATAAAATTAGGACTAGTTGTAATCACCAACATCACTCAAAAAATATTCATGCCAAATCATATAAAATCTTCGTTTAGTTTCTTAGGACTACCGACTATAGAATTTTTTCTTATACTTCCCTGTAAATCTTAGCTTCTGCAATAACAGAATTCTCTATCTAGTTCTCAATCATCTATTAGATTTTACTTTCCAGTTTCTAGTACACTCCTATCTCTTTCATGTTCATTCTGATTGATGTAGACTGAGCCTATAAAAAGTATCCACCTGTTTGTGTAGGCTATCCGAGATAACAGATTCCAGAGTCGTCCACCATTTTATCAAGGACCTAGCTTGTTAAGATCATATGAATGTTATTATGGGCTGTGGCTTCTCTGCTCATGTTCCTATAAAAAATTCTGATATGAGATTTTTCCTGGAAGTCTATAGAGAAGCTACCGAAAAGTAGAGTTTCTGATAAAAATATGAAAGTAGAGGTATATGGAGCTAGAACCACAGATATAAATGCTCACAAATTTATCATTTTTGAATAGCAAGAAACTTTCCGTGAACAAAAGAAGTCAGTTTTAGAAGTAAATCCCATGCAGCATATAAGGTAAGCTTAACTGAAGTGATTAAGCCTAAAATCTTACCTTTCTTGATTCCCCTAGAACTGGAGCTATATTAGGGCTGCATTTGTAATTGAGAGATAACGTCCACGCGATGGAACCATTGCTTTCAAAGGCAAAAAAGTTCTTTTCTGAACACACATAAACCTTCCCATCATCACTGATCAGCGGCTTGCTGAGCCTATATGCAGCTTTCTTGAAAGATTCTTGACCTGAACAAAACAAATGTAAAAATTCAAAAGACTTTAAGAGGTTGAACAATTTCAAGCATTCTTTGCGAACTATGTTTATTGCATCTAAGATTACAAAGTGGAAAATGAGGCTAAAATTCAACAGCAAGGTCAAATGACAAAAAGGACAGAAAACAAAGTAAAAATCCCAGCATACGCTTACTGTCCAGGATCAGGAAGATAAATAGATTCAAAGAAATCCTGTAAGCAGGTATATATTACCGAACCAATTTTAATTTACATAAGTTGGTATTGAAAATGTATTCATGAACAAATTACATACAGAAGTAGGAGAACAACACATCAATTCTATATCATTGGGGCATGAAGTTGGTCAATAAAAAGGGGCAGCCCGGTGCATAAAGCATCCCTCGTTCATGCACGATCCGGCGAAGGGCCGCACCCAAGGGGTGATGCACACAACCTACCCTAATACAAGCATTAGTGGGTGCTTCCACACTCGAACCCGTGGTCAATAGGCATGAAGTTGGTCAATATATGTCGAAAAGTTAGTACTCTATTTCAAGTGCTTTTGCCAAAAAGAGCCAAGAGGCATTGGCATTTCGTCAAGGTTACAGGCTAGATTTGCACAGTGAATTCAATTCACTTAAAAATTTAATCTTTCAGAATATATAGAGTTCAACCAGCAGATTGACTTCTTCTGAAAGATGTATGCTTGATAATCTTTCAAAATAAGCGTTGCAACATCTTTCATGTTTTCTTCAAAGGATGCGGATTTGAAGCGTTGCAAAATTGTCGCATTCCTTTGTCCCACATCAACTTTTTTAACAAAATCACGCACATAATTTAGACATACCTGAAAACGTGTGGGAATATGCGAAGGACACAACAGATGCTGATAGTAAAAGCAGGGACAAGATCAAAGCAACTGCAACTTCAATTCGTGGAGACATGAATATCATACGCACAACTGAACATGCACACGGTACAAGTCCAGGGTGACCAAATGCAATTTCAATTGAATGGATGAGAATCAGAGACCCCAAAACTTCATTCTTCAAACATGGCAGAGCGGTTAATTAACCGCTATGGTATATATTAATTTGTTTTTCCCAAGAGTATTTATTGATTTATATGGCCCTTGGCGGGGAATTGCGGAGGTCGAGAAGTTGTAGGTCAGGGCAAGTTGTGAATATTTCTACGGCGCACTAGAGTGAGACTAGCCGGGAGTTAGTCTTAGGATGCTACTGATTATCCATCTATTTAGTATTTCTTATATTGTTGTTATTTTATTATGAGTCTATTAATGATACTAATATATCGTCTCTTGTTGCTTTCTTGAGCCGAGGGTCTTCTGAAAACAACCTCTTTGTTTCTCGGGTAGGGGTAAGGTGTGCGTACTTTCCCCAGACCCCACTTGTGAGATTATACTGGGCCGTTGTTGTTGTTGTTATGGGTCATCGGTGTATGTCGAAAAATGAAGGGGAAAATAGTGCAAATTTATTTGCATTTGGGGTATGTACGAAAACAACCACGTGTATTTTACATAAAATTGTGTTATATATTTTATTAATGTCCTACTTTGTGACTAATTTTCCTCTTTGATAAAATAGTTATTGCTTTGTTGCAAGCACCAATAATCTTGTAGCAAATACAACAATTTATGTTATCTTTCGTTTTGTGTCACTTTGCTTAGTGAAGTGGATGATAGTTTGATCGAGTAAAGAGGTCTAAGACAATTGTTTGGTGCCTTTATATTAAAAAAAAAAATGCTGCTATTCTTGTTTCATGATAAATATTCCCGAGAAAAAGTCTGTTCCATCATGATAGTACAAAAAAGAATTCGAGGTATTGCTACTTTCTAAAAAGAAATTGAGTTGTGGCCCATCATGTTTGAATTCTGATCTTTTGGTTATTGGAGGTAGAACTATGGTTTACTAATGGGAAATTTTCTATTCCTGTACCATATAAGAAATTATATTACCAAATATGTTCATAATTTGCATATTACCCTTCATGCTAATAGTATTTTTACAAAATATAGATAATGCATTAAATAAAGAATTATTGTAGCTGTGAGATTCCTTATTTAGGCGCGCTAAAATTGGGGAATTAAATATTCTTCCAGATCTTCCACAACGCAAATCAAGCACATTCATAATTATCATCGGCTTCGTTTCAAATTTTCCATACTCTGTTTTTGCGATACACTCTGTATGCGAATCTACGTGATACACTCTATTTTATGCGAATTTGTCGAATAACGCAATTATGTCGAATAACACAGAAGATTTGTATACACTCTGTTTTATGAGAATTTGCAGAAAATTTGCGTATTTCGACATAATCAGGCATATTCATAATTGCGTTTTGTGCAAAAGAGAGCAGCAATTCCACCATTGACAGCCATTAAAAAACTTTGAAGCTTTGAATTCTAATTTGGGTTTTCAAAAATCATTATTTGTTTGGATTGGGTGTTGTTGTAAATAATTGAGAATATGGTTTGGAGTTTATATCTCAATTTTGAGGGGTGTTGGTGAAGATTAGACTTGGTTTTGACTGAATTTCAGATTGAAACTTGAAGAAGAAGAAGAAGAAGAAGAAGAAGAAGAAGAAGAAGAAGAAGAAGAAGAAGAAGAAGAAGAAGAAGAAGACATGACATACATTATATTGCAGAAATTGTAGAAAATTTGTAGATAAATTGTAGAAAAATTGTAGACTGTTGTTTATTTATTTTTCTTTTATTCATTTACCTATTGTATGAAAGTTGAACAACATTGTATAAAAATTGTATTTAAGTGGATGATTTAGTACTATTTTGGACAAAAATATGTATCAAAAATGTGAAACATACATTTCAGGGAAATCATGTCGAGTCCAAATATGTACCCAGTTTGTAGATATTTTGTAGATAATTTGTAGATTATTTGTATTCTGATTGTAAATGCTTTATTTTCTTTTTTCACAAATAAAAAACGACTAAAACTTCTACAAATCTTCTGAAAAACGCAATTATGTCAAAAATTTCAATTATGCTACAATTGAATAGGAATTGGGATATTAAAATTCAATGTACCCAGTTTGTAGATAAATTATAGATTATTTGTATTCTGATTGTAGATGCTTTGTTTTATGTTTTCACAAATAAAAAACGACTAAACTTTCTAAAAATCTTCTGCAAAAAACGCAATTATGCCGAAAATCCCAATTATGCTACAATTGAATGAGAATTGGGATATTAAAATTCAATGTACCCAGTTTGTATTTATTTCGTCGATAAATTGTATATTATTTGTATTATGTTGAAAATCCCGATTATGCTACAATTTCTGTGATTCTCCTATATGCTCTTGTTACTCCTTACGAAATTGTTATGCTAAATATGAAATCCAAAAAAACATGATGAAGGGATAGATCTTCCTAAGAAATTTTGTAGATAATTCGTAGAAACATTGAAATTCTGTATTTTCATATTAATTTTTCAAATGATATGTAGTTTTGTTGTAGATTAAATGTAGAAAACAAGCCATTGTGAGTCTTATTTGACTCATTCCTCACATTCAACCTATTCTACAAATTCACATTAAATACAATACAACCATACTTTCTTGAATTTAAAGGTATAGCAATATATATAACTTAAAAAACATCTTCTCCTCTGCACAAGTTAGCTCCAAAACAGACGAAGTGGAATAACAAGCTCCCATCAAAACTTTTAACACAAAAACACAAAGCTCAAAAATAAATAAACAACAGTCTACAATTTTTCTACAATTTATCTACAATTTCTGCAATATAATGTCATGTCTTCTTCTTCTTCTTCTTCTTCTTCTTCTTCTTCTTCTTCTTCTTCTTCTTCTTCTTCTTCTTCTTCTTCTTCTTGTTTCAATCTGAAATTCAGCAAAAACCAAGTCTAATCTCCACCAAAACCCCTCAAAATTGAGATATAAACTCCAAACCATATTCCCAATTATTTACAACAACACTCAATCCAAACAAATAATGATTTTTGAAAACCCAAATTAGAATTCAAAGCTTCAAAGCTTTTAATGGCTGTCAATGGTGGAATTGTTGCTCTCTTTTCCTTTCCTCTTATATTACTGAAATTTAGGATTGCAAGATAGAGAGAGACATAGAGAGAATTCTCAATTCTTTGCAACAACATCCAAACAAACAATGTCTTTTGAAAACCCAAATTCGAATTCAAAGCCTTGGCTATAGAAGAAATAATGGGATTTTGATACAGAAATCGTGGGTGTGGGAGGGGAACGTAGGTGAAGGTGTGGGCATTGGAGAGAGAAACGTGGGGGG